TCGGCATTCAAACCTAAACAAAAAATTTTGTGTACGACAGAAATGTCATTTCATCAATTAAATTGCTTCAAGTACTTGAAAGAGATAAATTAACTAATTTTACAACAGTTACATGTGTAAGATTCAATTATATTCTTCACACATTTGAATCTATTTACACAGTGAAAAATACACATCCCTGGCAATTAAGATATTTACATCTAAGCAAACTTTACATCTGTCATTTTGAATAACTTGTGCTCCTGCTGACATTCCACAAGGCCAGTAGTTTTGTCTATAAAGCTGAAACACCCTTTGGATGGCCTCAAGGCTTCTCACAGACTACACCCTTTTTAAAGACGCAATCACGATCCTAAAGCACTTCACTTCCCGAGCACCGCTTACTCCGGGCACGCTGTACAGGTATGTGAGAAGTTAAGCACAAGACCTACATCCCCTGCTCACTTCTCTGGCCATCTCTTTGGCTTCCAGGCTCTCGGGCAGGGCACCATTCCCTCTGGGAACATCTGCCCCCAAACCATCAGGGCAGCTCTGGCCACTAGCGGGCACTTCTAGGCTACTAGGACATGGGGAAGTAACACCCATCCACCACAGCAATGGTCAGGAGGTTTGGCAGCTAGTGAAATGCCTGGTGGTAAAAAACAGTCCGAAAAAGGATCAAGCTCTAAAGAACAGTTCACAGAAGACACTGAAGCCAATAAAACCCAACCAAACAACAAAAATAACCCCACAACACAACACTACAAGGCACTTGGACAACGCAAACTATGCTTCAAAAAAATGCCTGAACTTTCCCTGTTGTCAGATGAAATTTTGCTGTCTTTCTGTATTCTAAAGAAGAGTGGAAAGAACAATGACAATGTATAATATTTGAAATTTATTTTATGTGACTTACAGATCAGGACAGTATTGATAAACCTATGCTTTCAGTTAGGGGATGACAGAAGCAGGACTTGCACAGACAGGCTCTTGATAAGCAGGAGTGACTATAAAGTCAACAGGAAACCTCTTATCTACAGAAAAAAAAACCAACCAAAAAACCCCAAATAAAAGCCCCTACTGGGATTAAGAGACCCTTACAAGAAAACAAAACCCCAAAATATCTTCAAAGGCCTTTTGATATTTAGTTCAAAGGCTGTTGTTTAGGTTTTGTCTACAAAAGGTATGACAAACAGCCTTGGAACAACCACCTACAACAAGGTTATGCACTATGACTGAAATAGAGCACTTTTATTCCAGTTATGATAGCTCCTTATTAAATTTAATCCAAATAAAGGTATATTTTGCACAAATAATACCTCCACAAGTACTAATTCTACTTAAAGTCAGCTGTCTGAGGAAAACCATGATGAACAAATTGCATCTAGATCAGCCATCCAAAAAGCCATCCCAAGCATTAAGAGTTAAATTTTAAGAAAAAGGAATTAACAGGTATTCACAACAAAATAGGGATGTCTGAGGTAAAGGCTGCATTTTTATAGGCTAGGTAAGAAAACCTCTGGCATAAAAACCAAATAATTGTACAGTCTACAAGCTTTGTTGGACAAGAGATTGCAATGGAATGACTTTAAAAGGTTATTTAAGTCTATACAACTCATCCATCTGAAAACATGAGAAAACCAGATCTGACATGAGTAGAGAAGTCAGGCATGGGCAAATTCCCCATCGGTGTTTTTTTCCTGGTGCTCACCTAGGTCAGATGGGTGCTAACATGAGCCATCAGAAAGAAACATCTAAGCTACAGTGAAGAAACCAACCCCCCAAATATCCAGCCAGCAGGATCTTGCCTGTACCGTAACTCTACAAGTGGTAAGATGATAACAGTTCAATTAAGAAGGTATGTGAACCTTCTGGAGTTATTCTGAAAAATCTTTAGTGCAAATGGGTAGAGAACAACCCAGCAACTCAACCCATGGCACTGTACAGCCACAAACATGAGGAGTCAGAGGGGTGGGTGGAAGATAAGCCAGGAGAAGCGTGGCCCTGGAAGCCAGTAGCTGGGCCACCCAGCTAGGGCACTTTGGGGCAGCAGCAAGTAATTAGGGCCTGAGGTATGGGCTGGTCACTGTACCGCAAGGCTTGCTCGTACGCTGAAGTGAGCTATATGCTTTCCAGTGCAGGCGAAAATTGACCATAGCCTGATTTGTGACAACTAAAAATGAGAGCTATGGTTGTAGGGTGCAGGGTCAGAATGGCTTGTTGATGCTGGAAGAGATGTATTTGGGGGATCCTCACCCCCATGTACAACTTACTGAGTTAGATGACTTTACTACAGTGGTGCTTCTGGCATTTACACTGGGGAGACTTCTGTGAAGCACCTCTAAGATTCCCATTAGTTACAGTATTACAAACTATTTTAAAACGCTGACGAAAGAGGCTGTGATTTGAAAGACTGCTTTACCTAAACCTTCATGAGGTTTAGCAAACGG